CTCCATGGTGGTGTGTATACATTCATGCTAGCAAATCAGTAGTACACAGAATGCCTGAAAATCAAAATATATTAAAAAAACTATAAGTAATTGTGGGCTATATATTTATTCCTCAGAGTGACATTTATAGTTTACATTAAGGTTGACCTAATCTTAACATTTTGTTACAGAAACACATGTAACTGTTATGATAAATAACAGTGAGGTATTCTTCATGTGTTGTTGCCAGTGGATGGTTGATAACTTACTATAGTTCACAAGACAGAGACATGGCAATCAAAGCTACAGCATCTCACAGTAAAGAATCAAAACGGAAACATAGATATTTCAGGGACTATTAAGCAGGTGCTCACAAGAATCATTGGCAAGATTAGAGACAACAAGAATAAGTTGACAAACAACCTGATCAGAAAACAGTAAGTGGAGACTTACTCAGGAATGTTTAATGCTACTTGCATAGAAGGACCTGGAGAAAACCCTAAATGTTAAGAACCTCTGTGCTGAAGATTGAAAATATGGGAAACCATTCTGGTTTCAAAATAAACCTTGAGCAGCATGAATACCGGAAAAAAAAAATCAGAAGTGTGCTAAGAGAATCTGAAGCTGAGAGATGCTCCACAAACCCCACTCTCGCTTCTACCCAGGCCATAGCATGGAGGAGCTGTGTGAGATCACAAGAAGTCACTTTGACAGCCTGTCTGACCTGCAAGAAGAGCACACAGTGGGCAGGCCCTTCACACTCCTTTAAAGCTCAGGCATAGGAATTTTACACAGACCACTGACCTCCGAAACACTAGAGAGAGCATTAAAATTTGCAACATGAAATAAACAGGAGAATAGGGGCATAAAGTGGTCTCTGAACACAGCAATTATTCTCTCAGGGAGGACACATTTGCATAACTTGTTTTAATTACTGAGGCACATATATGCATGATACATCAAATGTGTGAAGATCAGACTACAACTTGTTTTTCTCCTTCCATTATGTGGGTCCCAGGGCACAAATTTATGTCATAAGGCTTGGTAGCAAGCATATTACCTTCCTAGTTATCTCAATGGCCCTAGAAGTAGACAACTTTTTCAGAAAAAATTAATTTATTGTGGCGGTTTGAATAGGTCTGGCCTCCATAGATTCATGGATTTCAATACTTGGCCATTGGAAGTGACACTGTTAGGAAGTGTGGCCTTGTTAGAGGAAGTGTGTCATTGTGGAGATGGACTTTGAGGTCTTATATGCTCAAGCTATGCTCAGTGTATTACACAGTCTCCTCCTGCTGCCTACAGATCCAGAAGTAGATCTCACAGAGCCTTCTGAAACAATATGTCTGCCTACATGCTGCCATGATGATAATGGACTAAACATCTGAAACTGTAAACCAGCCTCAGTTAAATATTTTTTTTTATAAGAATTGCTATGGTCATGGTGTCTTTTCATGACATACACAACAAACCCTAAGACATCTATTAAAATGGAAAGAGGAAGAAATGATAGAATCTTTTATGTTAGGGAATTTAAGTGGTGTGTGTGTGTGTGTGTGTGTGTGTGAATGTGTAGACACACTAGACATATATGGAAAGTGAGAACATCATTTGATAAAATGTCTCAATCATTTTGGTTTATAGACAACTCCTTGTTGAGCTGACTTTCTGACACTTGTGGATGATAGACTAAAGCTATAAACTGAAATAAACCCTTTCCTCCACAAGTTGATTTTGGTCCTGGTTTTTACCACAGCAATAGAAACCAAACAAAAACAATATGTAAGAATTTTTCACCATAGACCACTTCAGACCAGGTAAATTCTTTCATGATGTCTACTAAATATATAAGGAGGAAATGAAAGCAGGCATCATAAAAACATTTTCTGTACACTTATTTAATATACAAAGACAAAACATATTTTATATATTGGAAGGTATAATTTAAAGCAATCTTTAAAAAGTTTGAGGTATGTAAAATAATCTAATAAACTACAGTGCATCCATATACAAAACTAAATACTGACAGATATTAAACAAAGAGAAGAATGTGCCTAGTTGGGGAGCATTCTCACCTAGATGAAGGGAGAAATGAATACAGGGAGAAGAGAA